TTTTTTTTTTTTTTTTTTTTTTTTTGTGTAATGGAAGTTATAATTCGCAAAATTAAATGATTTTAAGTTCTCTAAAAATATTAAAATGACCATTTATTTTTTAAAAAATTGTTTATTATAATACTTTTAAATTAATAATTGAAATTTACTCCAACTAATTGACTCCATTTGAGGGAATTTAGTTAAAGAATATTTGGGGATTTAGTCAATGAGTCAAATGTTGACTTTTTTTTTTTTTTTTTTTTTTTTTTTTTTTTTTTTTTTTTTTTTTTTTTTTTTTTTTTTTTTTTTTTTTTTTTTTTGTCATNAAAAATTCGAATCATAATGGCAAAGCTAGGAAACTTCCTCCCGTTGGATGCGCGTCGTTCTCAAAACAAAAATAAAAAAATTAAATATCGAATTATTTTAATGAGAAATAGGCGATAATAATTTATACTATTTTACCATTGCATTAAATTACAGTGATTTCCAATAACGGAAGAAAAAAAAAAACTAAATATTAATTTCCAAAAAGAAAAAGAAAAGAAATTATCCATTCACTATCAGATAACCGCCTTCCACGACTCGAGAGTGGGAAAAGACGAAAATGTATCAAAATCCGACCCGATTGGGTCATTATTCGGCAACCCTAAATCCGGCCCAAAAGAGAGTGGGCCCAGCCCAGTTATATCAGATCCGTTCCCGGAGCTCTGCTGTTGATGGTGGTGGTGGTGGTTGAGTAGAAAGGCAGACGTGTCCAGCGTCGGGAGTCCAGCACTAGCACCGCCGCAGACGGCGAAACTGACAGTTGGTCTCTGCGGCTCCGGCTTCAGAACAGGGGGAATCTGGAGCTGCGTGTTACCAAATCGAACGCCGGTGACCTGCTGGACCATTTGACGGAAATTAGCCGGGTCCGCCGTGATAAACGTGGTGTGATTCTTCTTGGAGGCTCTAGACTTGCGCTTGGAAATCTTGCCTCGAGTAGGCGGAATTGAAGAAGTCATCGTCGTCGTCGTCGTCGTCGTCTGCCGTTTGGGGGCGGCGGAGTCTGGGTCGGAAGCGGCGGAAACAGTGGGGGTGGGATCGGCGGATTCAGGGGAGATGAGGTGGAGAAAGGAAGAGAAGGACTGGGAATCGGAGGGGAGAAGGGAAGTGTGGAGGGCTTTGGCCAGAGTTTGGGTTTCTCTAGAGAAGGGATCGGAATTCCA